GATGAAATTGAAGGTATTAACATTTATATATATATAATATATATATATATATATATATATATATATATATATATATTAAATTGTGAGAACACATTATGCAATTACAGTTAAAGTGTGAACATACTTTTGTATATGCATACACATATGTATATATGTATATATGTACATATTTATGTATTTACACAAATTTGTACATATGTATTTATATACATATTTATGTATGTACATACATGCATATATATGTTTAGTCACACTTTAAATGTATGTATCTACATACATACTTAAATACATCCATAAGTAAATTCACAATTTAAAGTCTATGTACATATGTATGAGTATGAACACACATGTGTATGTTTACATATGTATGTATGTATATATGTAAATATACATATATACATATGCATATATACATATGTATGTATATATATATATATATATATATATATATATATATATATATATATTGCAGAATCGGAAAATGGATCATCAGACAGTCATAAGGACATGCAATTGCAATTGGTTGTGGTAAACAAAAAAAGAAGAAGACGCAAATAATGAAAACATTCATGCAAAAGAAGCAAGGAAAAGATAGCAAGAAAGAGAAGTGGAAAGGAGATGCCACTAATAGGAATAATAACAAGGTCTCAAACATCTGCCAAGGAAGATGAAGAAATACAATGTGTAACAAACTTCATAAAAAAAATATTTGTTGATAAAATATCTTATTAAATGTTATTAAAATATTAATGTGTTTTATAGTTCAAATATATAAAAGGAAAAGAAACACATGTATGTATAAAATATTTTTAATAACAATTTCTTTTTAATCTTATTATGAAAAACAACAAAGAAAAGAGGTAGAAAGAAGAAAATGATAAGAAGATGGTGATACCATAGAAGATGAAATTGAAGGTATTAAACACACACACACACACACACACATATATTATATATATATATATATATATATATATATATATATATATATATATATTAAACTGTGAGAACACATTATGCAGTTGCACTTAAAGTGTGAATATAATTAAGTATATGCATACACATACATACATATATATATATATATATATGTATGTATGTATGTATATATGTACATATTTATGTATTTACATATATACATATATATGTTCACACTATAAATGTATGTATCTACATACATACATAGATAGATAAATACATTCACAGTTTAATAACACTTTTTTTTTATCTTATTAGGAAAACCAATAGAAAAAAGAGGTAGAAGGAAGAAAATTAAAGAAGATGGTGATAGCACAGAAGATGAAATTGAAGGTATTAACATATATATATATATATATATATATATATATATATATAATTTTTAAAAATTTTTTTTGAATCTTATTAGCAAAGCCAACAAAGAAAAGAGGGAGAAAGAAGAAAATTAAAGAAGATGTTGATAGTACAGAAGATGAAACTGAAGGTATTAACATATATATATATATATATATATATATATATATATATGCGGCTGTCATGTATGTAATATTATGTATAGAACCATCAGAATTAACTTTATTTTGATTAAAAAAAACACAATTTTTTTTTTTTCATTTTTAGCTTATTTCTATTGCTTTTGAGCTCATATTATTTCTGATTTCATAATTTATCCCCAACATCTATGTATTTCAAATATGTTGTTTATATTAGACCTCTCCTAGGCTTCATAACTTCCTTTGACAGCTACCATATGTATACTTGTATGGTTCTTTTTGATGTGACATGGGAAGAAGTTTATTTTGTTTTTAATGAAAAATTTAATCTTTCACTATATTTTTCTATATTAAATTTGAATATGAAGACTTATAGGTAACTAATAATGTATTGTTGTACATGATTTGTGGTGCAAAATTAAATATTTAAAACTCCACAATAATACTTACAAGGCTTATCGTCTAGTCTTGTAGAGGATACAAGAAGGATGGTAGGGAGATTTGATTGCATTTTGTTAAAACACTATGTATTTATTGATGGTTCTATACCTAATATTAGGTACATAACAGCCACATATTCCCTAAGCCCTATATATATATATATATATATATATATATATATATATATATATATATATATATAATATTATATAAAATGTTTTTGATAATACTTTTTTTTTTAATTTTATTAGCAAAACCAACAAAGAAAAAAGGTAGAAAGAAGAAAGATAAACAAGATAATGATAATGATGATGAAAACATCCCTCCATTAAGAACAAGAGTGACAACAAAAGCATTATACACTACTGTTAAAACTCTAAGCTAGGAACAAAAAGAATATTTAGAAGGATTGGGTTTCAAGGAAATCTCTAAAACATCACTTGATACAATTCCATCAGTTCTAGCACATTTTTTTGTTGAAAGATATAACCCTACTTCAAACTGCATTGATTTAGGGGACATACAACTGATGATAAATGAAGAAAAAAATTCATCAGATTCTTGGTTTACCAAAAACAGGAATATATTTGTCTAGTGTGAATGAGTGTGAGGAAGACAATGAGATTATTGTCCAATGGAAACAACAACATCCCGATGTAACAAAATCGCAACAAACTCTTTGTGAACTTATAGAAGTGTCAGAAATTGCAGATGAAATGTTTGTGTTAAATTTCATCACATTGTTTGTCAATACAATGATAGAGAAAAAAGCATGTGGAGGTTTACAAACAAACACTACAGTGAAGATTGCAACAATTGAAGATTGGAAAAATATAAATTGGTGTAAATATCTTAGTGATGCATTGCAACATAGTAGGACTTCATGGAAGCCAAGAAACAAAGGCGTTTACTATGCTGGGCCACTTCCATTCTTGCTAGTAAGTAAAATTTAAATAAAATTGCATTGCATATCATCAAATTGATTAAATTAAATAACATTTTAATTTGTTACAAAATTATTTACAACTTCTCTATCTACATTCAACTGATTGCCAAAACCAATACGTCAACCGAAAAATAAGACCAATATGCTACTGGAATTATGGAAAAATTAAATCAAGACAACACATTGAAAATGCTTAAGGTTAGTTAGGATTCGTCACGTTGGTTGAGGATATTGATTCAACACAATTCAAAGATGAAGAAGATGTTGACGTTGTTAATGAAAAAAGAAAAGGAAAACAAGTTGAAAAAGATATAGATACAGAAGAAAATGATGACATTGGTGCAGAGATAATAATGGATATTACTAAATTAAGCTGTGAACTGAATATTTCGTTGTCAATTTTTTTTTAAAAAATGTACCTATAAACTAACAATAATTTAACACTTATTGCAGAACTATTGTCTTTTGGTAGAAAGTTAGTTTAAAACCATTTTGGAGTGTAGAAACAGAATTGAAAAAACATTGGAACATGCACTTCAAAAATATGCAGATGATAAAGAACTATGTGGATGGTTTGAAAGGTTTGTGAACATTGAAAAAGTGTTGAACAAAAACGATGTCGAATCATTAAGAACCAAAGAAAAAGAAAATGAAAATGAGACAGGTGATGAAGAAGCTACAAGAGAAAGAGAATTTGAAAAAGTGTTGAATGAAAACATTGTTGAATCATCAAGAATAAAAGAAAATGAAAATGAGACAGATGAAGAAGAAGGTACAAGAGAAAGAGAATACAATAATCCAATATTTGAAGATAATATTCCAAAGACACCAAATATGGAGGATGAACAAAATGATTTTCTTACCAATGAATCTCAAGGAGAAGGTAATATGAAAAACAAAAATTAAAATTAAAAAAAAAAAATTATGTTTTTAATTAAAATGACTACTATGCAATACATGTTATAGGAACCACAAACAACAAAGAAGAAAAGGGAAATGAAAAAAAACATACTTGAAGAAAAGGATGATCAAGGAAAAAGAAAAAAAAATAGAAGTTTATACAAGATCAAAGAGGAAAACAACTAAAGCAGAACCTTACCAATCACCTTACATGACACGAACAGTTGAAGTGAGAAAAAAGTTAGAATCTGTTGAGACAAGGATTTCAAAATCCATATTCTCACTGCAAAAGGATGGGAAGTAAGTGAATGGTTTTAATATAACTAGTATTTAAAGAAGTTAATTAAATTTTATTATTAAGTTGTGAATAGTATGTAAATATTAAAATAACTAAAACTTTTTTTGTTTAACTATTTTTTTTTTTTTGATAAAAACGAATACCAATATCACTAATTTACAACTTAATATTGACAACTTAATAATTTTATATTAATCAAACAGGGAAATAATATTTGAAACAAAGGATGGGCATAAAGTGGAAAAGATATTTTTTGAAACATTAATACCATGTGCATGGATCCACCCAAAATTAATCGACTGTTGGTCGATGTTGTTGAATAATGAAGAGAAGCATAAAGCAAATACCACACCATTATACTTCTACTTCCCAACAAGAATGTTGGTAAGAATTATTTTATTATATAAGCATATAATTTTAATATTGATTTGAAATAACTAATGATAATTCCATAAAATAACATTTCATTTTTTCCTAGACCAATAAAATGTTGGATAGGTACACCATATAATAAGAGATTGGAAAAGAGTGAAGAAAGTATGAATGAAGCCATGAAGAACTACCCACATCTGAAGGATTTAAAGAAAGATGGAATTGTAAGAAAAAAATTCTAATTATTACTTTTTATTATAATTATATAATATAAATATACAAATATTTATATTAAAGTATTAACAATTTCAACTATACTATTAATGCATGTATTCTTCCTAATACTGCACAGAAAGCACTACTACATGATTTGTTGCAATTTGCAAAAATATAGTGTACATCTGATTGACAATGAAAAAACCACAGAATATATTGTGGATACTTATGGAATGTTTCCGTATAATTTGGTGAGTATAATTAATAACTTAGCACAAAAAATCAAATGTTTTTTTATTAACTTTTAACTGTGAATTTTACATATCTTATTAGTGTTGCTGATAAAATTTTTAAATACAGTTCAATATGGTGGTGTCATACTTGATTGAAAAAAAACATCCAGTTGCAGACAATTTACTGAAGAAGAAAGTTGCAATTTTTAAACTGAAGTGATGGACAAAAAACAACATGAATGACAGTGGAGGTATGTTGATGAGACATATTGAAACTTTCAAAGGACAAGGGCCAAATAAGTGGGATTATGAGATTGAAAAATATCAAAAGCAGCAGAAAAAACAATTGACAAAGCTTCGATCAAAATATGTTACAAAGATCTTGGTGAATGATATCAACATCCACAACAAGATAATAGAAGAAGGTCTTGAGTTTGAAAAGCCGACAAAAGAAGAACAAAAACACGTTGTGAATCATGCAATGGAGAACTATGAGGAAAGGTTTCACTTGTTTGGTCAAGATTAAATAATATATATCTACTCTTTTTATGTTTATAAATGTTTATCTGCTATTGAAGACTTCTATCTAGTTGAATAAATATCGTGTTAATGATGTTTTTATTATGGATAATGTTTCATACTTGGTTAACATGTTGGAGTTAGATTTTACTATCTAAAAATATAAATTTCTAGTTAATTGTTGATGTTTACAATTGTGAATATTTAAATTAAAACAAAAGGACTAAAGTATTAAGTTGTGAATTGAATTTTGAAATTTTAATATGATAAATAGTTTTTTAACTATAAATATGATGTTGTAACTGTTATTATAATATGATTTTGTTTAGTTACGTAGTTGTTTTACATGTAAATTTCTGAAATAGATTTTTTATTTGTTAATTTTATTTTTTATTTCCAATTAAACTGTGAATTTTCCTTTTTTTTCTTCTGTTTTTTATTTATAATATTTCTATTCTTTGTTGATAAATGTTTTTTTAAGTATAATTACAATCTTCTAACTGTTATTAACCTGTAAATATATTTGGTTATGTATAATATAAATGTAATTATGCTGTGAATTTTCAATTGTGTTTGTTCATATATGATAAATAGTTTTTTTAACTGTAAATATGATGTTGTAACTATTATTATAATATGATTTTGTTTAGTTACGTAGTTGTTTTTACATGTAAATTTCTGAAATAGAGTTTTTATTTGTTAATTTTATTTTTTATTTCCAATTAAACTGTGAATTTTCCTTTTTTTCTTCTGTTTTTTATTTATAATATTTGTATTTTTTGTTGATAAATGTTTTTTAAATATAATTACAATCTTCTAACTGTTATTAACCTGTAAATGTATTTGGTTATGTATAATATAAACGTAATTATGCTGTGAATTTTAAATTGTTTTTGTTCATATATTACAATGTGTGTCTTCTAATATGATAAATAGGTTTTTAAATGTAAATGTGTTGTAACTGTTATTATAATCTGATTTTGTTTATTTATGTACTTGTTTTCACATGTAAATGTCTGAAAGAGTTCTTATTTGTTAATTTTATTTATTATTTCCAATTAAATTGTGAATTATCCTTTTTTTGTTTTACATTTATAATATTTGTAAATATGATGTTGTAACTATTATTATAATCTGGTTTTGGTTATTTATATAATTGCTTTCGCATGTAAATGTCTGAAATAGAGTTTTTATTTGTTAATTTTTTTTTTATTTCAATTAAACTGTGAATTCTCCTTTTTTTATATAATATATTTATATAATATTAATAATCATAGATATTAGTAATAACAAACTTAACATTGATTATTAACTAAAAATATTATATATTAACAAATAAAATTATGAGTACAAAACAAATACTATTCAATTCAAAAAGATAAAAATGTTATATAATATATATATATATATATATATATATATATATATATATATATATATATATATATATATAAAGAAACCCTTATCAAGTAAAAACTAAAAACTAAAAGATAAAAATCTTCAAAATCTATCAAATAGATCTTGCATCCATATTTTTGCCATCTTTACACATTTCTTTTTCTTTTGATTCTCTTTCCAAACGCTCACAATATTGTGACCAATAACATATTGTTTGCACCTGGAACAAAACCTTTTTTGTTTAACTGATTGAGTAATGGCTTTTTCTCTAGCTCCTTTCAACCTCTTACCTGTACCACATCCTTTATTACTTATGTCATCTAAAGGATTACCAATATCAGAAATAGATGGCTTCTTCACTCCATAGGATAACTCAACAAACTCAGAAATATCTTTTCTTTTCAACAATAAATTTGAAGAGATTAACGTAGAACAAACACCATCAACTTTCAACTTTGCTTCTTTAATAAGATCAAAAAACTCCTTAAGCTTATCCACATCTTTACTCAAAATAGACACACTTTCTTCCACAACACTCAAAACCTGACGAGAAAGAGGATCATATAACAATGATGATGATGATGAGGTCTCATCATCTGAACATTGCTTCATTAGAACATAAGATGGAATAACACCTTTGCACCAATGCCTAAGAATGTACTTTGAAGGAATCTTGCTTATTTGGTAAGTCCTAAAAATGCAAAATATATGCCTGCATAATATACCATTTTGAAAGAACAATGAACAAGAGCATTCAAAACTTGATTCCTTCTTGTCATAAACAACCTGTACAAAATAAAAAGAAACAAAAATATTAATAATTCACAACTTAAGATGTAAATTATATATATATATATATATATATATATATATATATATAATTTACCTTGAAAAAATAAGTCTTTTCTAGAACATCACATTCACTTTCTGAATCTTCTTCATTAACAACTGTTGGAGTAGACCCCATAATATCTTTATATTGCATAACAACAAATCTATCATAAAATTCTTCATTCGTAACACTATATTGTGAACATGAAAATAGAGATTGTTCAATTTCTTCCTTCACTTTTATGAAGACTTCATTAGTATAGATATTAGCAGCATTTTCCATGATTTTTAGTGAAATTTTACTTTTAATCTTAGAAATATTGCTAAGATGGTCTAAGTAACATTGATTATGTCTTTGCCTGTCCATAGCTAAATCAAAAGAAGTGAAGAACTTAACTAATGAATTACCCTTAGTGAGAAATTTTGTTGATTGCAGAATTCATGCTTTCTGACCTAGAAGTGGTCCTAATTAAACCAGACAATGGCATGTCTCTAAAATATGTTGGAATCCAACTTTCTCTCATATGAAACATTTTTGAAAACCATGAAATCTCTTTGAGCTTATAATCTTCAATAAAACTTCTCCATCTAATATCAAACTCAAAAGCATCTACCATAAAATTCCAAATCAACTTATTGAAACGTTTCTTGAATTTCATATCATCATCAAGTTCATCACATACCTAAAGAAAAAATTCACAATTTAATAACACATAATAAATAACATAATCAAAAGTAGGTAAAAATAATATAATCTAACAAAATTCAAATCATGAACAAAAAAACATAAAAATTCACAAGAAATAAATGTTCTAGAAATTAAAATTATATACCTTAGAAAGCAACTTTTGGGTTATGTGCCACATACATAACCTGTGTCGTGAATCAGGCAATATTCTCTCAATTGAAAATTTCATTGTAGCATCATCAGTGAGAACTATAGTCGGTTGTTTACCAAAAGTCTTCAAAAAAGTTTTAAGCAGCCAAACATAAGATTCTATAGTTTCACTACTCAAAAGACCAATTGAAAAAGTAACACTCTTTCTATGGTTATCGATTCCTGTGAAAGGAACAAATACCATACGATATCTAAAGTATAAATATATAAAAAAAAGTTAGTATAAAAACAACAAAAGAAAATAATATAATAAAACAAAATATAAAAAAAACTTACTTGTTCCTCCGAAACTAACTTTCCTTTCTCACATATAAACTCAAATGTAAGAGTAGCATCGTCTTTCATTCTATCCAAATACTTATCAACTACCATTTGTGCATCGTCCTTTTCAATAAAACAATTCACTTTTTTAGATTGATTCTTGTAGTCAACAATAGTCCCTCCAACATTGTTTGCCCCTTTTAGCTCTTGCATTATTTTGTATGCTTTCATTGGACCAATTTTTACCCTTCCCATCTTTTCAATGAATTCTTGAGCAGCGTTGTCTAATTGCCTATTAGACCTCAAGAAATGCCTATAATCTTTTGCAACCAAATCATGATTATTTCTTTCTTCAAATTTGTATAGCTCAAAAACATCCGAATTTCCTACTCTTCTAAATTTTGCAAAAGCTAGACATCTTTTCCTTTTAATATTCGAATTTCTGTGAGGTTTATTATTTTTAGAATCAGTTGTGTCCACATACACACTTTGAGGAAATCCCTTTCTATTGCACAACATAGATCGATGGGTAAGAACACGAGACTTGGTGTTTATCTTTGTAGAACCTTTTCTTACATCAAAACCAACTTTAGCAGCATAAACCCTATACATATCCATTGCATCTTCAATACTCAGATATTTGCTAAAAAAAACTTTGGTTTAACATCCTCAACATCATCAGGAGTCCATATTTTACGAGTTCCACCAGGAGAGAAAAATTCAGAAAATCTATCTTGACTTAATAAGAAAAATAAAAACATATATCAGCTTAAAAGACACATATTGTAATATATGAACAAAAACAGTTGAAAATTCACAGTATAATTACATTTATATTATACATAACCAAATACATTCACAGGTTAATAACATTTAGAAGATTGTAATTATAAATACAAATATTATAAAAAAAAGGATAATTCACAGTTTAATTGGAAATAATAAATAAAATTAACAAATAAAAACTCTATTTCAGACATTTACATGTGAAAAAAAGTACATAACTAAACTCTATTTCACAGTGATGTAAAAATATAAATATTATAAATAAAAAACAACTAAAATTTCACAGAAGGAAATCAATTAACATCTTAATAACGGATAGAACATCATATTCAAATACGTAAGTAACTTTTTAATCTATAAGAATTAAAAACGGATTAAATTAGTAACAGGCAGAAGGAAACGAGATACCTGCTTCTGATTCACCTTCCATTGCAATATCGTAATCAGATTGAGCTAAAGATTGAACATTCAATTCATCTGTTCCTAATACGATTTGAACAGATATCGGATCCAACTTAGAAGATGAGATACCTGCTTCTGATTCACCTTCCGTTGCAATATCGTTATCAGATTGAGCTAAAGATTGAACATTCAATTCATCTGTTCCTGATACGCTTGGAACATACATCAGATCCAACTTAGAAGATGATGATTCATCAGGTAATGATTCCATACAAACTCGTTATATATATGAAAATCGAACACTGTCACACCCCCGAACCAGACGGCGGAAACGTCCGAGGGCTATTGTGACTTAATTGAATACCATCACAATGAATATACATGAATCATAACATCATTCACCACCATGCATTGAAATATTACAACCGATA